TATTTTTAATTAGTATGGACCGTTCAAGAAGAACCTTGTCTTCAAGACTTGAGAAGGACTTACGTGGACTCCAATGCATGCTGAAACTTTTATTTTTTGCATTACGCAATTTTGTTTAATCTAAAATAAATAAAAAAGTATTGGCGTAGAGAAAATAACTTGTCAAAATAGAGATTCAAAACAAAAGATACAAAATAAGCAAATAAACTCCAAATAAGAAAAACAAGTGGATGATCCATAATGATCCATCTTCTTAGTGTGGCAGAAAGAGAAGCACCCACAACTTCACCATTAACTTATCTTGTCGGATCCTTGAGGTTTCTAATTTTAATAGTTCTAGTTTCTCGTTTGTATGGACATTTTTTTTTTGCAGTTTTATTACTATGTCTCTAAATTCTAATATGGTAGACTTGATAGATATCCGATGATTTTCTCTTTTAAATAGTTTCATTTTAGGATAACCCGAGCCACTCGATTATGAGCATTAAAAATAAACAAAAGATTATAATTGTCAATCAAACTACTGGTTTAACAGTTTCTTACTAGTAAGCTAAGTTATAGGTAACACTCCCAATTTTGAAAATGTGATTGTGTATAGAAAATTTATTGTGAATATTCCAAGAATATGTTTTTCTTTTCTTCTTGTATTTAGATTTTGAAGTTGGTAAAACTCCAAGGTATGCATTCCAGTTTTGACGTTAGTGCCAGATTTTGTAACATTTATATGTGAGTTCCGAGTAGGATACATTATTCTCAATTTCAAAGCGCTTAATTTGCTTTATTAAACAATACGATAAAATTTGGATAGTTAAATGTTTCTATTCAGAGATTAAGAGAATCGGTTCTAAAGAGGACGATCGGTCGGGTCGTTATTTACGAGTGGTGTGGTTCATTTTCTTTCTTACTTCTTTTCATTTCTTAGCTGAAGATAGTTAAAACTTAATTAGTAGATCAGTGGACATTTCTTAGATGCATGTTTGTATGCTACCACATATAAATCAATGTATTTTAGTGAATCAATACAACAACTAGCAACTTCGTATACATTATTAGATGAGATGTCAATATATATTCATATAGAAAGCATAAAAAGTTTGTGGAGTCATAGTTTTTTTTCAGTTTTCCTAAAATTTTATTTAGTTTCAAGTATTTATAAGAATGAATAATACATTTACATTTGTGACAAAAACTTAGCTCATAAGATTGCGTAGTCTTTTGCATTTTCTCTTGGTTGTTTGTGCGTTTTCTCAGCCACTCTTTGCTTTGGAGTAGATGAATTTCCAACGTGATTCGTAGAAGATTTCGCTATTATGCAAGTGTTTTCAGATTATTAAATATTGTTGGTTTTACACTCACATATCCAATCCATACCACCTTCATGTAAAAAGAACTAGTTATAACCACCTTCAGGTAACGCTTGCAATGCCATTTCCAACCAAAAGAGAAATTTCAAAGACAGTACGTGATTCACCAAGTGTACTCACTGGCTACATTATTATTTTGTAATTTTTTTAATTGATGAATAATATTCCATCTGTCCTATATTATAAGCTGTTTTAGCCAAAAAGTATAAAATTAAAAATGTTATTTTTTTCAATAAAATATTATATAAAATACAAATTAACCATGATCTAACCAATCATGTAAAAAAAATGTGGAATATAAGTGACTGCACAATAACCCATAAAGTAAAAAGTGAAAAAATGTTTATATTATGAGACAAAATTTAAAAGCTAAAACAGTTTATAATATGGGACATAGAGAGAGTATATAGATTACGCTAATACGCTAAAAGATTTTATCAAGAAAATACGAGTCTCGAGAGTCGAGCCTTTCTTGTTCGTTAGGACATCAAATTCAGGGTCATCGGAACTTTATATTTTAAAAGTCGACAACTAGATATGTAAAAGTTATCAAATATTGAGATTCATATCGTAGTGTGATGTATCTTGGTTACGTTATAAAAAGTTGTTTGATCTCACTTGAGTCTTAGCAATGATAAAAGTTTAAGTATGTAATAAATCTATATGCTATGGAGGGAGTAATCTGTATGGGAAAAAAAAAGATATACCAATAATTTATTTTTATGAGACACCGCAACTAATTAAGAAAAAAAGTTGATACTATAAATGATCACAGAGCACGTTCACGTATAATAATAGAATTACGTAAAGAACATATCTCAACATATCTGAAGTCAGCCTTAACATTTAATGATTTTTGGTAAATTAAAGACTTCAATACATGACTAACCATTTTCATTAATTAAACAATTAAGCAAAATCATACTATTCTCTTTGTCACGAAAAAATCATTACATGTTTGGAATTAAGAATTACTTTATCTACTATCTTAACAAATATTTCGTGCTTTATAAAAGAAAAATCACCCTCTTTTATATTTCAGTTTTTTATTCGTTTTTTTTTTCTTTTTTTTCTTATAAAGATACGAGTGGGTGTAGCGGAAAGAGGAAGCTAACGGCGGGAAAGCAAGAAAATAATAAATTAAAACCAAATTATAAGAAAAAAAAGTTTCACCAGAAAAAAGGAAGAAGCAAGATGTGTATGTATCTATAGACACACATTCACACACAGATTTGTATATAATAATTAATAAGTATAAGAACTGTTTTCTCAAAGGAAGAAAAAAAACTGAAACCATTCTCTTTTCGTTTTTACGTTTCTCTCTCTCTGTCTCTCTTTGTTCTTCTTATTTGATTCATTGCACATTAGAAGAAGCTTGTGGACGAACACGAAACACACAACATCCTTCACGTATCCAGATCTGATCTCGCTTCAAGAGCTAATGCACGATAAATCTCAGGTACTCTCTCTGTTCTCTGCTCTTCGTCCCTTTTTTGGATCTCTGAGATTTAAAAACCACGTGCGTTGTGTTCTTGCTTGTTATGACTTATGAATTATAATATTAATTTTATATGTATTGGAATTCTTGAATTTTCTCGGGAAAATGAAAATGGCATCGAGCTCAGTTCTTGGTGTAAATCTGTGATGCAATCAATCAAAATTCGAATTTAGTCTTCCTCTGTTTTTTCTTAATTTTCCCTCGTTTTATTGGAATCCAAAGTATGCAGCAACAGAGAGGGACCACTCGTTTGTCTCACTTTTCCTTTTTTATTTTTCCCTCATTGCTTTCTGCTAATTATCTCATTTTGCTAACTCAAACATAACTTATGTTTAAAGCATTCATTAATAAGTTGTTTTATTCACGTTAGTGCTGAAAAGTAAAAACTCATAAATGATGAAACCATGAGAACGAACTATATGAGTATTGACAAATTTTGACTCTTTTTTTTGTGTGGTAGTTGTGTCGTTAAGAAATTGTCGTTTTAAGTTAGTGATTTAGTGTTGTTTCTTGTTGACCTTTTGGTTTTCCATCTTTGACTAACTAGCTCAATTTGTGCGGCTAAATAAGCCAAATTTTCTCTTACGTTGAGTCAAAAAAGGAAGAAAGAAATGACTCATCTTCTGTTGGCTGCCGGTTTTATTATGTTGTCAATAAAAACACAACAAATTTTTGATTATATTTTTTTTCTGATACTTTATGCTTGACCATGTAGTAGTAGTATTAGTTGAGATATTTGGGCTATTTCGGGTTTGTCATCTAATTTAGGTAATAAATGAAAAAGATTTTAATACTCTCAAGCTAAGTTTTTCTTTTTCAAGAGTTTTCCTTTTTGGCACGAAAGATTTGACGAGGTATTTCGGGTTTGTCATCTATCATAGACTTAGTCGTAAGTCGTAACTCGTAAGGCCATGAGTTCATGACTCATTTACTTTCATTTATGGAAAGTAAAGAAGGTTTGAAGATAAATCATCCTACCATTTTAGACTGTAGTCTGTAGATGACGTTTTTCTTTATTAGATTTTTTTTGTGGGTGGACGGTTTATCAATTATCTCACTTTTTCTTCAAATAGTATTTAAGTGAAGGCATGTGTCTCCACTCCATTAAGTGGAATTGTGAAGCCCAAAAGGGTATCTGATCTTGCTGCTTAGCGTTACCCATTTAGATTCGTAAGAGGTAAAGATTCGTTTTCCCATTTGTATCCGTACCAACACGTTTCTTTTGGAGTCCAAATTTACATAACATTCCGGATTCTCCATTATATATATCTCTATCAGATCGGATTCTTTTTCGTTTTCTCTTTTGATCTCTTAACCTTTCGTTTCCTTATCAAAATATAAAGTTTATTTTGGGTGCTTCTTTGTTTATCCACGCCTCTTCTTTTCCATTGAGGAACATCTTAGTGACTATCCAAATCCAAAAAGGTTCTTTCTTTTTTTCGTTCATTAATTTTAGTTCCTGATTATTACTAATCATCAGTTCCTGCCAAATCTTTACTTTGTGAGTTTTAAGTCTAAAAAATCCTGACTGTCCTCAGATTTTATAAGCTTGCTTTTTAAGTTTGGTATATTTGTCTTTTGGTCTTTATAATACACATGGTTAAGGTTCAAAGTTGAAATATTGGATTAAAATGAGCCATCAATTGTGGATTCTCGTTGACGCCTATAAAGTTTGCTTTTTTAGTTTAGGAGTTACTTGCAGTATACGTATTCTTTGTGATGTTTGGTAGAACAAAAAAAGAAATGAGATGCTTTCTGTTGAGAAACAGATTTTGTGTGATATTTTTTTCTTTTGAGAATACACTTCAGATGTTTCTCATGTAAAACATGAATTTTTCCTCTTCAAATCTATAACTCGCAATCGCCACCGTTTCGTCTTAGGTTTTGTATGCTCTTTACGGAATTGGATTCTCTTCCTTTGCTTCATTCTTCTGTCTTCTTGTTACCATCTCTGTTTTGAATGTTCGTTGTTTCTTTTCTTAGGTTTTGGCCTAAAGGAAGAGAACTCTTGGACAGGGAAAGGGCGGATTTGGCGCTCTTGTGTTGCCTCTTTTCGTTCTTGATCATTTGATCTGTTTCTTGGTTCTTTCGATGTTGAAATGTCATGAAGAGGAGAGAGTCTGGTAATAAGTTGAGTTATGGAGACCGGTACAAGCGTGGGCACTAGCGGACGCAGCAGAAACGATAGCTATGAAGCAATCAAGAATGGTTCATGGTTTAATCAGTTTCGTAACGGCTGCAATCCCTGGATGGCTAGATATGTATACGGTCTGATATTCCTCATAGCGAATCTACTAGCTTGGGCTGCTCGTGATTATGGTCGACGTGCCTTAAAAGAAGTGACAAGTATGTTCCACTAAACTCAGGTTTTTTCAATCTCGTTCCTTGTCTTACAAGTTAAACGATGCTGAATTGAATCGTATTATATTGCAGTATTCAAGAATTGTAAAGGCGGAGAAAACTGTTTGGGGACAGAAGGAGTCTTAAGAGTTAGCTTTGGATGTTTTGTATCCTTTCTTGATCATTCTTGAATACTATATGTTTACTGAAAACAATTTATCAAGAAATGTTTTAGGCTTAACCGTCAAATATCAGCTGTTCTATTTCGTTATGTTTCTATCAACACTTGGCACGTCGAAAACGCATTCATCAAGAGATAAATGGCATTCTGGATGGTGGTCTGCTAAGATTATCATGTGGCCAAGCTTAACCATCATTCCTTTCTTGCTTCCTTCTACCATTATTCAGCTTTACGGTAAGGCTTGATGAGAATGATTCCTCTTCTACTACTCTCTCTAATTCAATTGGCATGATGAGTAATTTAAAAAAGTATTTTTTTTCTTTGGTTTGATTTGCAGGAGAGATTGCCCATTTTGGTGCAGGGTAAGTAAGATTGATCTTGTTTAGTTTTCACAACTTAGTAACTTACATATGATGTGATAAAACAAAATCCACAATCTTATCGTTTGTTGTTTATTTATAGGGTGTTTCTACTGATACAACTAATTAGTGTGATCAGTTTCATTCAATGGCTCAACGAATGCTACCAGTCTCAAAAAGATACAGAAAGATGGTAAGTTTCATTGATCCACCAAAAAAATTTAATACTTTTTTTTTTTCAATTTATACTAATCAAGCAAAAACTCTTTATGTTTATAGCCATGTCCATGTGATGCTACTAGCAACTACTTCATACACAGTGTGTATAGTTGGGGTGATTTTGATGTACATATGGTACGTACCGGATTCGTCATGTCTTCTCAATATATTCTTCATAACATGGACTTTGTTCCTTATCCAACTCATGACAAGCATCGCTCTCCACCCTAAAGTAAGTCTTATTTCTTTTGTCTCCATTAGTATTCATAAGTTTTTGTGTTCGTGTGTTTGGAACTTTGGATGTTTGAACTTATTAATTTTTTTGTGTGGTTGCTAATAGGTGAATGCTGGATACTTGACTCCAGCTCTAATGGGACTCTATGTTGTGTTTATCTGCTGGTGCGCCATTCGAAGGTATGTTATGTTTTCTTACTATATAGTTTTTATGTATATTGTATAAGGATCTTAAATTATAAATTTGTTAACTCCCCAAAACTTGTTTTGCAGTGAACCAGTAGGTGAAAGTTGCAATAGAAAAGCAGCAGCTTCAAACAGAACGGACTGGCTTACCATTATTGTAAACTTCTTTCAACCTACCAACACTCTTTCAGCTTTCTATTTCATCCAAAAGGTAATATGCTGATTCTTGAATGACATTTATGCAGAGCTTTGTGGTTGCGTTACTTGCAATGGTTATTGCGACATTTTCCACGGGAATAGACTCTCAGTGTTTCCAAGTCAAGAAAGATGTGAACAATCAAGGAGAAGAAGAAAAAGATGAGGAAGATGATGTTCCATATGGATATGGATTCTTCCATTTTGTATTTGCCACAGGAGCAATGTACTTCGCTATGCTACTTATCGGCTGGAACACTCATCACCCCATGAAAAAGTAAAGCTTTCCTCAACAATCTTATTTATATAATACAATAAACACACACACATAGTTATGTGAGACTGTGTAGTCTAGTTTGAGCTAGGCTTGAGACTTCAACTTATTTTGTTTTGTTTTTGTATTTAGGTGGACGATTGATGTTGGATGGACGAGTACTTGGGTAAGGGTTGTGAACGAATGGCTTGCGGTTTGCGTATACAGTAAGTACAAAAACAAATTGAGTCATGACACATTTTGTATGCTTTCATGAGTTTATCGCTAAAACTCTTAAAGATAAGGAAACAGTTTAGTAATGTTTTGTTGATAAAATGTTATGACAGTTTGGATGCTGGTGGCTCCAATCATACTAAAGAGCAGAAGACAAGCAACAAGTGGGACATGAAATGATGAAAGAGATAGAGAGGTTTTGGGAAACGACAGGAAACATATGTCGTTTTTGGTCTCCTTTTCTTCTTTTTCTTCTTGTGTAGCATAGAACTAAACCGCCATTTTCACCTACGACCATGATGGAACGCTAACATGCTCTCATATGGGTTTTGTGGGAAAATATATAGTATAGGACATGAAGATTAGGGAATTGTTGGAAATCAAATATTTGTAAGTAGAAATTGTCATAGAAAGGTTGATACCAATATAGATATGATTACTATTTTATTATCTTAAAAAACTACACATGCATACAAATGTCGAAATTTAAATCAGTAACCAATTAATCAGAAAATATTTTCTTAGGCATACTCACTCGTTTTTATGGATAAAAGTACAAACCAATAAATAATATTATAGTTGATTTAAAATAAGCTCGAGTTTTGTTTTTTTTGGGTATGAATTAAAATTTCCATTTATTTATCAAATTTTCCGAGTTTGACTTTGAAATTTGAGAATTGAATTTTGTATTCTTTATTATTTTTAACTAGATTAGACCCCGCGTATACGCGGGTTTATTATAATTTTTTTGAAATAAATCCTGGAAAATTATTAAACATAATATAATCATTTTTAAAAGTAAATAGAATAATAATAAAAACCCGATAACAAATCACTAAATAAAATAAGATTAGTAATCTTTTTATATTTTTATTATAATTGACATTTGTTTTGAATTCATGATACGAAAAATGAATTAATTTGTGTTATCTTATTTTTATCAAATATAGAAATACTTACATGTGTTTAAATCTGATGGACTAATTAATACGTGAAACTTTGATTATTCCATCGAAGAGATTTCAGTTGATGAAATCAATTTTTTAATATTTTTTGACCTAACAAAAGTTTGAAAATAAACTATTTAAAATTAGAATATCGGACCAAAATAAAATTTCTTTTTAATATTAGTTAGCTGTTGATAATTATTTTGTTAGCTTTCTATTTATATTCTTTCTTTTATAAATATTTATTTTGCCTCGGACCATTATAAATTTTTCTTTTCATTATTAGTTAGTTGTTTTACAATTTTTCGTTTTGTTATTAATTTTTTCTAATTTTCTTGTATTAACACATGTTATAATCTGATCAAATATTATACATGGTGCGGCAGTAGTTTTGATTTTGATCCAACTGATCTAAAATTAAATATTCTTCATTGATATCTAGAACTTTTAAAGACATGATTTTTCATTTCTTAATAAGAAAGAAAATTTAAACAACACAATTAAATCATGAAGGGTGTAACTTATTATATATTGTTTTTTTTCCTTCTTGTATTGGGAATATGTTTTTTTCCGTTTCTTAATGGATGTAACAATTTATTGTAAATTATATATTTTCTTACTAACTTTTTCATCAAGTAGTAGAAGCTCAACTCCCATAAGAATATTATTTTCTTTTGGATTTCTAACTTTCCACTTTCGAATAACACGTACTATAGTACGGCGATAATTTCGATTTCGATCCAATTGAGCTAGAGTCAAATAATCTTCACTATTTTCTTGAACATTCAAAGACATGATTTTTAAATTAGAGAAAGAGAATCAGAGAAATTTAATGAATTTGCTTTAATGAGTTTGTAAATGAGAAAAAAGAGACTACTGTAACTTTGTATTTATAGGTGTTCATATAACATATTCCTTGCAGATATAGGAATTTTAGTTTACGTACCTATTCCATGTAGTAATAGGATTTTATTTATTACATTATTTTCAATCTTATTTTATAATAAGATATGTGTTTGGATAATATTAATTTGATGAATGGGAAAACCTTTTTCTGTTAGGATATGACAAATATTAATTTTTCTTTTTTAAAATAAAATAGATTAAATTTCGTTTTTTTAATTAAATTTGTTTTTTAATTATCCTATTTCTAGTATTTTTTTTTAAAACAAATTTTTTTTCCCCTAAAACACGTGTCACGATCTTAACGGACATAATCTTTAAAAGTGACACATGTCGCGATCCTATATTTTATAAAAATCCTACGTGTCGCAACCACGTCGCACGCATCCAGGTTTATATTATAAGATTTTGATACATATTTTGTGTTAGCTATTTTGTAATTTTCTCTAGTCTAGACTAATTTCTTTTTTTGTTTTTTTTTTTGGTAAAATATTTTCCTTTTTTGTTTGGGGTCGGTTTGGGTAGCTTCTCTGATGTTAATCTCGTTTAGGAGTTACAAGTCCACTAGGATTAATAAACTTATCTGGATATGGGAGTGAGTCATGCTCGCTATATATGGTGGAGAAGATAAACCAAAAACCGTTCATAATCGTACGTTGTGCTCCTCTGTTTTCAAAGCTTCAACCATCATCCTTGTTCTCCTCTGTTTTCACAGCTTCATTCATCAAGTCTCTCTCAGTTTCCGGAGTCATGTCAGAGAATGAAACTTATGCAGAGACTGTTAGCCGTGACTTTGTGAAGCTATATTATCGCACTCTTAACGAATCACCTCAGTTTCTTCATACGTTGTACAATGATTACTGTCTGTTTAACCGTCTTTATCCTGAAACCCATGTCAAGAAAACTGTTTGGAGCAAGGAAGATGTGAAAGATGAGTTTCTGGCTGTGAGACTGGAAGATTTCACGGCTGAAATTGAAACTTCAATTGGTGTACCATATTTTATGGAATGTCGTCTTGTAATTGCGTTCGTCAATGGATGGATGAAAGGTAAGAAAGATAACGTGAGTAAGAAGTTTACGCAAACGTTTCTTCTGGCTCAACAAGACAACCGCTTCTGCGTCGTCAACGATATTTTGAAGTATAAAGAGCAGATACAGGCCTGCCCTGTAACTGAGGATGAGTCTGAGCCGGTTGGTTCGACTCAGCTACTTCCTCACGAACTAGCATCAACGGAGAACTCAGTTTCACGAAGTAAAGGGGAAGATGATGATGAATGGTTTATGGTTTTAGGGTTGTAGACATAACCAGGTTCGGTTTTGGGTTTGGTTACTCATTTAGGGATGATGAAATTTAACTCATAGTGTTGTCGTCTAGATTTAATTTAATTTCTGGATATGTATTTAACAATCAGATGGATTTGATAACTGTTCTCTTTGGTGTTAGTAAATCTGATTGTTTCAGTTATTGCATAAGTAGAAAAAATTCTTAAATAATAACAATATAATTTCTATAAAAATATGATTTTTATTTCGCAGAAATTATATTTAGTACTTGTATCTTTAGTAGGTCCGGCTATTTAATGTGTGGTAAGTCTTAGGTCCTACGTAAGTCAAATATCTCTCCAGGATCAGTGTACTACAAGTAACAGAAGAGACAGAACACTTAACATAAACATGTAGATGGCCGTAAAGAAGAAATTGAGTAGTGACCACTCTGGTAAGTCCCTTAGCTATAGTGTTCGATATGGTCCCCATGCAGTAATTATTATACTAAAGCCGTGACATATCAATGTGACAATTCAATAAGTGTTTTCCTCAATATATACAATGCTGACTCCACGTCCTATGATCAATTTGAGGTTCTATCAAAAATATTTGTTTTTTTTCATCTGAAACTACGATTTATTAATATTTGTTTCTTTACAAAGATCATCTTATAAGCGCTACACAGTTAAGCTGATGCCAGGGCATAGACTTAGAAAATAACCAAAATAGAGATCGAGATAGTATTAAGAGTTGAACGGAAGATGCCATCAAAGTTAGTTGTAACAACATGAACTAAGTTGTGAGGAGAGATATCTAATACGTATTTTGTGAGTCTAATATATTTACTCGGGAAATCATTATTTATGGTTGATCAAAATTGTTCTCATTAGTATTTTGTGTTAGTGGGAGGCTTCATCAATTTGTTAAAATGCTTGGAAATGTAGAAATATTAGAATTATTAACTTGTATAAGAGTATTATCTTATAAACAAATATGGCGATCGATTTAGAAAAATTGAACAACCATTTTGCTGGCTACGACTAAATGGGTTCATGCCATGCAAGTACGCAACGGAGGAATCATTTTTTTTTATATATCAAAATTCAAAAACAAAAAATGTACGCAACGGAAAATATAATAAAGAAAGAAAAACAGTCAGGTGGACCAATGAGGCCATGCCTCCAATAATAGAGGGGCGGTGCTAATGCCAACCTTTTTGTAAATTAGAATTAGTAATCTGAATAACAAATTATCCGAAAAAGGTTGTATCAACTGCGAAGTTATGAATTCACATTTATAAACATAGTGTCTTATAATTCTGATTTACAAATCGTTAATAATTTCTACTTAAGTGTAGCACTCAGTCCGAAATTAAACATGTGAAATATCTGAGTATTCGAATAAAATATTTGTTCTGGACAAAGGTATTTTTAGTATGTTTTTATGATTCTAAATTATGGAATGGCTAGATTCCACATTTTGCTAGTTAGAAAAATAAATCAAATAATAATTTGAAGACTGAAATGCAATGTCATAACTCATAACAAGATTGATTTAACTAGCTCCAGCCTTTTTCTTGTCAGTATTGCTTTTATGTTTCTCTATTCAGTATCTATAGTTTTGTACGTGTAAATTCATAAATGGTATAAAATGTATTATGCAATTTCTACTACCATGAATAAAGAAGAAATGACCAAAATGTATTAATCTTTTGCCAAAAAGAAATGACCATGAATAAAGAAGCTGGAACAATCAAAGTTTTTTTTTTTTTTTTTTTGTTGTAAAAAGGAACAATCAAAGTTATAATGGAGAAAATGTTTAAAACACCTTCTTTGAGGTCACGATGTTTAAAACACTTTAACCTGCCAAAATAATTTTAGTTACATTGTGTATATAGTACTTAGCCTGGAATCAAAGCAGCAAGCAAATAAATAAGTGGAGATAAAAATAAAAGCACATGAAAGTAGGAACATCATTAACGGAGCTTCCATAATAAGCCTGAAAATAAAACATGCTTTGGCATGAAGAAGGAGAATTATGCCTTTGTCTTTTTTCACGTGATGATTAACCTAAAGCACTTAGCATATAATACCTTCTTCGCACATGTTGTTCTTCATATGCTCATCACTCATATTTTAAATTGGTTTAATAATCCCCCTCTATTTTCTGGTCGTAAGTCATTGTATATCACAGGTTCATCTTATCTATGAAATGAGGGAAGTTGAAATCAGGGAAAGGGACTAAGCAAGAAGACAAGTTTACTAATCTTGAATGTTTTTAGCTGAATCATATATAAAAACAAAGAAATGGGGGGAATCAAAATAGATTTAAAAAGAACTAGGGCTAAGCCCGCGCGATGCGCGGGTTGTGACTATTACAAAGTTTTATTATTTGTATTTTAATTGTTTTCTTCAAAAATAAATTTTGTAAAATGTTCGGGGTAGGTCTAGAATTTTTAACCTCTATCTGAAAATCTAAACCGTACTAACCCGAAATATCCGTATCTAATTGATTTTGGATATGGATGGTTAAATATTTAATACTCATGAGTATTAGGTAATCCCGAACCGATACCCAAATTACTCGAATCATAGGTAATCGTTTGATATTATAAGTAATAATATTTTTATATATTTCATTTTTTTCCGATTTTCAGATATAGTATCTACAAATAATTTTCTGATTTTTGAGTATTTTTTAGTTTATGGGTATATTTTTTGTTTTTCAGGTGATAAATAACAATATTTCTCAAGAATAGTTCTAAGCAACATTTCTAAATGTTGAAAGTAAAGATGGATTTTAATCTATAGTTCTTAAGAATAGTTCGAATCTTGAGCTGATCCTAGTCTCAAGCACCGAAATTCGACTTGAACACATCGATCATACCTTTTCCACACTGAGGATAGTGGCTCCGAGAAATAAGGCGTCGTTGCTTCTTTTTGTATCTTTTGCTTAGAGTGTGTGAGACTGATACCATAAAATTGAAATATACTTTGCCATGAATCTGAATTGGCTATGCGATTTTTAGCTATGTGAATATCTTAAAATAAACCATAACTGCAAAAGTCAAGTTTCGAACAAAGGATCTTTTTGTGTTTGAGACCAAGTATAAGATTACGATAAGGAAGAAGAAGAAGAATGTCTTGCTGAAAGGAGTGATTCCAATAATGGCACACTGAACTTGTACTGGTAAAAAATTTAGAAAAAAAAAAAAATAAATGAACAGAAAACTATGTCTAATGCACTATGAACGTGAACTGCCATCGATCCTTTCTGGATGCTTTCATAACTTGAACGCTTTGGATAATCACTCTCAACTAATCGTGTATTCCCCAATCACACAGTAGCCTCAATGGCTTTGCAGTATCTGAAACTCATTTATCCCTTCGTCATCATAATTCTCTTGCTAACTTTTAGGATTTCATTGAGATCAAAACCCTTTAAATTTATTTGAATTAGATGCAAAGAACAAAATTATATAAGCCTCAAACATGAAGCTCTTTCATTCAAACAGTAACAAATCTCACCAACAACTCACACCACTGGAAAACCCGGAGATTTACCTTTACAGAAACATGTTTATCAGGTCTAACTTGAACACATTCTCCGTTCAAACAATCAAAACCATCTGTTAAAAAATACTTTTTTTTTATTCACTGCCAATGATATTCAATGCAGTCATAAATCAATTAAATATGTGGTACGTCTAAGACTCTAAGACCTCCTCTTGCAGCTAGTCCCGAGAACTCCTGGTATCCGTTTCAATTGTAACTTTCTCTTGCATAGCCTCAAAACCATATGCAAACTAAACTTCATCTCCAACCCGTGAGAGAATATGTTCTAGTTATTAAAGTTTTCAGTTATCCTGAAATGAGTTATCATTATCAGAATGAAATAAATGGGATCAGTACGAATGTATGGTTCTAAACAACTAATTTCCAGATTCAGAAACAAGCTAAATTCAATATTTTGCTAAAAAAAATGTAGAGAAATGAGACTTACGGAGAAGCATTTTCGCTGGACAGCTCGACATGGTCCCAGGTCATCGGAGATCCAACTGCATGAAATAATCTAAAAGGGATATCTTCCGCGATGCCACAAACCGATCTTTTCCTACATGGATCTGTGGAGATTCGCTAATTAGTTGGGTTCTCCTGAGCATCTATTTTAAAGGCATCGAAGAGGAATTCGAATCGGATGTAGGGGTTACAAATTGATTGGAGTTCTCGAGTAAACAGAGGAAGGAAGCCGAATGGATTTCAAACGGCACCGCTTTCTTCAAATGAGACGATGAAAGATATATAATTTCTTTTCTAAAGATTGACGGACGGGCATGCATCTGTATAATCGGAGAGAGCCTGCAGGACGGGGGAGAGTGTGGACAGTTGATGCGTGTTGTCGGATCGCCGATTGTTTTTCGGAGAGTCTTCGAAACGGCTGAGAACGGAGATACAGTTGCGGGTGGTCGGCGAGAATTAGATCCGTTTAGGAGCGATTGTTTTGCTTCGTGTTGAGTGAGGACCTTTTGTTTGGCTGAGCGAGGCTGCGATATGGCGGAAAACCTAATTCTAGTTTCGTTTCTGCGCGCAGCCGAGATCCATTTAGGAGCTATTGATTTGGCCAGTCTCCGACGGAGAAACCGGAGACGGCAACTTTCATGGCGAGTCGAGGAGGCCGTTGCGTGTACGAACGGTGAGATCAGAGCAATCAAGCGTCCGGCGGAGTGTGGCGGTATAAGGTTTAGGATCAGGTGTGAGAAAACCGAATGAGGCATTTTTTGAGTGTTTGAGGTTATTCTGTAATAAAATTAATTTTGGAGGATTGGATGCCAAATATTTCTCTGATTATTATTTTTTTAAATAAATGAATGACAGGTGTCAACAAACTGGAGAGAGTTATTCATCTATTATGACCCTAACTGGTACCAGATTAATTGGGGAATTCTGAATAATGTTGATGAATTATTTGTTAGTGTTACCAATTACTTTTGAAGAATGTAGTGGAATGCTTTTTGGCAGAATTTTTTCTAAGGCATTTTTCTTTTTTTGTTTTCTCTGAAAAACTTTAATGGAATGTTGACTTTGACTAAATTACATTTTAGAAACTGTTTTCTAAAAATCAACATAAAAAAATAAATATGTGCATGTTACAAAAATATATTAGCTGAGAAAATGATAAAATAAAAAACCTAAAATCTAAAATAAACATATCAATATTATAAATCCAAAATTTTATAACTTCTTTATTAGGATATACAAAATCAATTAAAACAGATTATTTTATTAACTTTTTTTGTTATTTTACTTATTTTAACAGGGTAATTATTTAAATATTCTGTTATTCAAATAATTTGTCAGATTCATATATGAAGTATTTAATTTAGTAGATTTTTAAAATATGTGTTTTTTTTTTCAAGAGTAAAATGTAAATATAATTTCATAAAAAATGGTGCAGTTTTTTAGAATTTATAAATTTTGATGTTAAATAAATTACTATGAATCAATCCAAAATCTATAATTTTAAATAATTTTATTTTATTGAACTATTATTTAGTTATTTCTCAAGTATATGATTTTATTTAGTTTATAATTCAAGTGGGTAAATGTTTTGTTATTTTGTTACATAAACTATTGTTGTTTTGTTAAGATAAAATTTGTTTAGATTTAAAAGGTTAAAAAAAATTTGATACCAACATTTTATTTGAATTTTCAAGTTTAAAAATATTGTTGAACAAACTTTTGAAACAAATATTTCTAAAAAAAAATTATTCTGCATTCAGCAACATTCAGCAGTTACCATTCATATTACTAACTATTCAGCCAGATTCCGCAAAAAATTACAATTTAATTTTGCCAGATTCCGCTTTTAGCAACATTCCACAGTTACCATTTAGATCCTATATATAAGATTAGAGAAGTGGAGCGGCGAGAGTGGAGCCAAAGAGAAGATGCTTATCCACTCTTCAATCAATTATACAAAACTACAAGTCACACTAACTTAGCTTGCATCACATGCCTCACTCACTAATTCACTCTTATAATTACATGAATATTGAATTTTATTTATTTCCGATGACATAAGAAAATTGGTGTCAATGTTGGAGAGTTGTTGAACGTGAGATGTGACCTATGTCTTCTTCTTTCTTTTTCTTTCTCTTATCACTTGTCATATCATACTATATTGCATATAATTGTATGCTTGTAAATAGTTGTTTCACTTGCTTCTATTGGATGACATTGTGTCATAAGTTCAGTAATATGCAACTTAAAGAAACACAAGAGGAAAGATACTTAGATTAGTATTAAAAATTAAACTACTTAGTGGTTACACTCGCCACACCAATCAAGATTTATAATAATCCTAGTTCACCACAATGGTCTAAACTAAATTAAAGAGGAAGAAAAATGACAAAACTAACACAAAGATAATGATAGATTTAACATTGTTTGTAGTTGATGAACTGAAGATAATAATAAAAAAATACAGTAAATTTATCGGTTTCTACAAAATCATTTCAATGTTTGACTTCTTCACACACATTGTTTCTCTCTCTCCATCTCTTTAAGACAGTGTAAGTGTGCAATACAAGCAAGTATTTTTCTCCTCTCTCACCCAACTTCTTTTTAAGTCTGCCCAATATCAGTCTCTCTAAAAAAACCACAATTCTGTTTTAATAAAAATAAACCCTTAATTACTTTTCGGATTAATGGGGAAGCTCCAGAAGATAGGGAGAGTATGGGATTGTCTGTTCCTTCCAACAAATCAGTGTTCATGTTTTTGCCTAAACACACTAGAAAACGATGAAGAAGAAGAGTTTGAGAAGAAACCACTTATAGATTCTTCGACAGAGAAATCCGGGAAGGTCATGAGATTAAAAGATGTTGTTTCTGCTGATCATCGCCAGACTCTTGCTTTTCATCTTAAGCCTAAGGTAATCACAAATCATCCCCAACATTATATCTTGAACTGTATATGATGACGTAAGATGATTTCTTGAGCTTTGAAAAATGCTTATTACAATGCAATTTTTTTTGGAAACAGTGAAATATATGTTGTATAAGCTCTTAAAAAATCATGTTGGGCTTCGTTCTATGGTGGTGTGCGTTTTTCTTGTTATTCCAAGTTGTTTTTTTTCTTTTGGTTCTCCCAAAATCCAAAAGAATAATATATTTGATGGTTATAACAAACTCAGTTTTCATCTAAGATTTAAATGAGTTATGTTAAGATTTAAAGGTTTATAGTTATATTAAAATAAAGTTAATAAAACTGTCCGGTTGGTGATGGTGATGTATGCAGGTAGTGGAGCTAAAGGTGTCTATGCATTGCTACGGATGTGCGAAGAAAGTCGAGAAGCATATTTCTAAATTAGACGGTAACGCCAAATCTTCTTTTTTCCTTTAGGCTTTTCTTTTAGGGAAATACAATCACAGGCCATGATTTCAATTATTGCATCTAGTTTATTTTGCTGAAGAAGACTGAATTGCGAAACCATATCGAAATATGTTGGGCTCCATATATTTCAACAGTTGCATTGATAAATAGCCCTGTAAGATGGTAGTTGCAATCATTTGTTGGAAGAAAAAAAGACATTTATATATCAATATTATCCATCTAATTTTTCAAAAATATACGTATCATTGCGAACTGAAACAGAACAGAAATTCAAACATCAAAATTATTTGGTTTTATATGATTATTATATCTTCTAAACAGAAAAAGTTTGTAAAACTGTTGAAAGACTGAACAAATTGTTTTATTTTTATGAACAGGAGTGACATGGTACAAAGTTGAGCTTGAAAGCAAGAAGGTAGTGGTGAAAGGGAACATAATGGCAGTAGATGTGTTAGCGAGTATTTGTAAAGTCAAGAATGCTCAGCTTTGGTCTTCTTCTTAATTTATTTCTGTTTCCACCACATGGGCCTTTCATGTCCATCTCCATCTCATGTTATATTATTATCAGTATCTAATTATGCGTAGATACACATGCATGCATGTATGATCTATCTTTCTAATATATCCTTCTTCTTTTTCGGATCCATTATATTTGTAACATCTTGAGTCTTATCTCATTGTATTATACTCCAGACTCCTAGTTCACTTGCTATCAATTGGTTTTGAATAAGAACTCCTGAGATTTAATACGAAATCAAAATTCAGTAAATCTACACGGATATAGTTGGGATTACTTTAGTCGTGTGAAGTGTGAACCATAGGAAGCCGGGCTTCAGAAACCCCCTCCTATGCCATAAGCTATGCTACCTTTTCATAATCTAGCTTCGGAATAGACTTTACGGTTCCAATGTCAGATTTAAATATGATATTTTCGTTATTTCACAATATAACCTTTTATTTAGTTTCATATGGTGTTTTCAAGTTTCTATGCAAAATTAACAGTGTTTTTGACTATTTGAATTTTGCAAGTTGCTTTTAGTTGATTGAACCGTTTTTCATTGATTGAATTGTTTTGGAATTGATGAAAACGCATCAGGACAGATAATCAACTTCCAGAAATCATCAGTCACTTTTTCAAGAAAGACATCACCGGATGTCCGAGCCCGAGTTAAATCTACCCTGGGAATTGAGAAAGAAGGTGGACAAGGAAAGTACCTAGGATTACCAGAGAGTTTTGGACGTCGGAAAAAAGACCTCTTCACAGCAATAATCGACCGGATCCGTCAAAAATCCATCAACTTCTCCTCTCGATTCCTCTCCAGTGCTGGGAAGATGACTATGATAAAATCAGTCCTATCAGCGATGCCCACCTACTCCATGTCTTGCTTTAAACTTCCTGCAGGTTTATGCAAGAGGATCCAATCAACCTTAACAAGATACTGGTGGGATACAAAACCAGGAAAGACAAAGATGTGTTGGATTGCTTGGGAAAAACTAGCTAAATCCAAGAAAGATGGAGGATTGGGTTTCAGGGAAATACAGAGTTTTAACGATGCCTTACTTGCTAAGATCAGCTGGAGGATCCTCAACGAACCCCAATCTCTCCTAGCCCGTGTCCTGAAAGGAAAGTACTGCCACTCCGAGGACTTCCTCACAGTCTCTGTGAAATCTTCCACTTCTCACGGATGGAGGGGAATATTGATTGGAAGAGACCTCTTAAATCTCAAACTGGGTAAAGCAGTGGGAAGTGGACAGACCACTTCCGTTTGGCATGACCCGTGGCTGTCCTTGAAGCATCCATCCCGACCCTTAGGACCCCCAAACCTACAAGACAAGGATATGAAGGTCTCAGAACTCCTTAACGACCAACCCAGAAGCTGGAATAAAGAAAAGATAGAGATCCTCTTACCCCACCACCTCAACAAGATCCTCCTACTTCGACCAAGTACAAAAGGAGCAAAGGATTCCTACATCTGGATTCCGACTAAATCCGGTGATTACTCGGTGAAAACGGGATACCACTCTGCCCTGGAAACCAACGGAGACGCACTAACCCCTGCATCACCACCAATTAACTGGAACTCAGATATCAGGTAAGGAAAATTCTCGCCTAAAATGAAAGTTTTCCTATGGAAAATAATTCAAGGAGCAATACCTATTGGCGAAAATTTCCTCCATAGCGGCCTACTAGAAAACGTCTGCTGCATCCATTGTGGTGAGCTAGAAATAGTAGAACACCTCTTCCTCCACTGTGAGTTTGCAAAACAAGTTTGGTTGCAGGCTCCTTTCAAAACCGTCTTCAACCTCCGAACCCTGATTGACTTTGCCACAACCCTCACAGTATCCAAAGAGTGGATTTGCCTCCCACCAACTGGCATTGGAGCGGGACCTCTCTTCCCTTGGATAGTCTGGTCAATCTGGACCTCACGGAACCAACTCATCTTCGAAGAACGAGTTTTTTCCCCGGAAGCAACGCTAACCAAAGCAATTACGGAAGCAAAAGAATGGCAACTCGCACAGGTGTTCAACCGCAAGCCTAACCTACCCACAAGCCACTCAGCCACACCTCAAAATCCTCCAATCACAATGATCTGTTTCACTGATGGATCGTGGAAGAAAGAATCTCAAACCGGAGGAATGGGTTGGATCTTCATAGAACCCGACGGCGAAGCACTCACCCATGGACAATCATCCGAACGTTTTGTCACATCGGCCTTAATGGCGGAGGCTCTCGCTATTCGATCGGCTCTCAACGCAGCCTTGGATTTGGGACTTACCACTATCCAAATCAAATCAGACGCTTCGGATCTCATCCGAGCTATAAATGCGCAGGAGAAGATTAAAGAGATCTATGGATTACTCTTTGATATACACACTCTTGCTTCGATGTTCCTCTCAATCTCATTCACATGCATCCCCAGATCTGAGAACAACCGAGCCGATTCCCTGGCAAAGAATGCGATCGCTTGTATCCCGGTTTTTGTTTTAGCTTCTGTACCACTTGTAACCGGTTAAGAGTTTTAATGAAATTGTCGTTCAAAAAAAAAAAAAAAAAAAGTTTAAGTGGTCTTCCACCTTGCTCCACTATCTATTAGCAAACCAACTTGTTTGCAACAAACCATATGAGATATGGTGTTTGCCAGTGGGAAGCCAGCGAGGTTCTTGCTAGCCGAGTTCGGTGAAATCACAGGACTTAACTGTGATGAGATTCATCCGGATATGATGCCAGAAGTTGATGAAGAAGAGAAGAAACGTTTTTGGGAGCTTCTCAAACTCAAAGAAAACCGTTACAGCCCAGGGTTAGAGGACCTAAAGGCACTATGCGATGAGTGTATAGCTTGGTCAAAGAAGGACAAGATTAGGTTCTGTTATTTAGTTATTTTGGCTAATGGGTTGTTAAAAGTTGACCGTAGGAGCGAGCTTCCCTTGGATAAAGCTAATCTGGTGATAGATTTGGAGAGGTTTGAGAATTACCCTTGGGGGAGAGTTGCTTTCGAAGACCTGATGGATGCGGTCAAAGACGTTACTCATGAGAAGATGCAGAGCAAGTCTTATACGTTGAATGGGTTCGTGCAAGTGCTACAAATATGGGCATATGTAGCAGTGCCTAAAGTTGGAGCGACTCTTGGTTGTCCATTAACTGTGCCAAATGAGATTCCATACTTGCTTAGGTACCAAGGAAGAGGTGGCAGACTTTACATCTCTAAAGCTTTTTCGGCTTGCAAAGTAAGTATTCTCATCTTATTATCGGAGATGCCAAGAGAGACTCTGCCACTAATCTTTATTTGTTTTTCTAGGTAAGGCACATGTCTACTTTTAATGTCAAACAAATTAATCATACCACCAACGATCCACTTGTGGACAACCTCGTAAACTACATTCTTGAGGGGAGATCGATGGATGGTATTGTTTGGCAGGAGGAAGAATACGTTCAACCAAAAACTTCAAGGAAGAAAAAAGGAGGAAAAAATGAAGAGATACAGAAAGAACAAGAAGAAGAAGAAGAGGAAGATGTTCCACTGTTGTTAGAAAGAGAGTCAAGGAAGAAGAGGAAAGGGGAGAAAAAAGATGATATGAAAAAAGAAGGCTGTTGAGAGTAGGGATTTAGTACCAAGTCCAAGAATGCAATCACCCAAGAGAAAGACAAATTGGGAAGTATAGAAGAAAGTGGGAAGTTGTTTGGTTGCAGGTTCCGTAACGTGCAAGAAAGGGTGTTGTAAACAAAGTCAATGAACTGAAAGCACAAAAAGAAAGAAAAAGAAAACAAGTGAATGAGCTGAAATATGTCATATGCAACTTCATCATCATATATATAAGCAAAAATATTTTGTTCTTATTTTTTTGCTTTGAAACCTAAAGTTATTATTCAATTAACATAGGCTTTTTAGCAAGAAAACCCCTCAACTAAAGATGGATCGTAAATAAACCCCTCAATTATTAATGTAATGAAAAAACCCCTCAAGTTTACTTTTTTTAATGTCGAGACCCCTCCGTCCCTTCTGTCGTCAAAACTGGACGGCACCTGTATAATCAAAACGCAGCGTTCCATTTTATCATGAAAAACGACATGTTTTCAGTTTCAAAACAACATGTTATGTACTCTAAACAACATGGTGTGTGAAAACCCGATTTTGAAATCCCTAAATACATTAAACCTCTAAAATTCCCAAATTAAAACCTAAATCGACGAACCCTAATTTCTCAAAGTGAGACTGTGAAGTTTGTTTGGATTCGTAGTCGATTGGAAAAGAACGAAAGAGATCAACTTGGAGAAACCAAAAGGGTATATGATAATGGACTTCTTAGAGAAATTCGAAAGTCTGATGGCGAAAGAGTTTGGGTCTAAGGAGCTTTTAGCTAAAACTAGAGAGATTGTTGCAGAGAGAGCGAGAGAAGAAGCTGAGGTTTTGAGAGATGAAGGAAAAGTTGAAGAGAGAATGATGACTGAGCTTTTTCGGGTTTTGAGAGATTGATGGAGATGGATTTGGCTATGGTTAAAGCTTCTGTTAAAAAAAGAGACTTTTAGCGAGAGGATTGAACAAGCTAGAGCAAGATGTAGACAAGCTATTCTTGTTGCTAATTCTTTCTGAGACAAATTTGGTTTCACAATTCAATTCGCAAGTCCATAGATTTGTTGTTTATAGTCACACAAAGCTTCTTCATTTGTAAAAGATCATAACTTTGAGAAATCAGAAGAAAGATTCATGCTTTTGGTTTTGCAATTTCTAGTCGAATTGGGGATTTCTAATCGAAACTCTCGATGAATGAAAAACATGTTGTTTTTCATGATAAAATGGAACGCTGAGTTTTGATTATACGGGTGCCGTCCAGATTTGACGACAGAGGGGACGGAGGGGTCTCGACATTAAAAAAAAGTAAACTTGAGTGGTTTTTTCATTACATTAATAATTGAGGGGTTTATTTACGATCCATCTTTAGTTGAGGGGTTTTCTTGCTAAAAAGCCATTAACATACGTCACAAAATTACTGAAAACACACAATTCATAGTAATTTTATTTGAATAACTCTAACATAAAAGGAGAGAGACGAAAAACAGAGGCCCATAGAGAAAAAGCCCGAAATAGAAAAACAAATTAGATAAAGACACTTAGAAAATTAAAATAAGGAAATTACCCTAAAATCGCTGACTTCATTTGCCATCTTCTCTTTTCCCCAAATCGAGCCGCCGCCGCAATTTTATTCTCAGGCGACGCTGAAATCTACAGCGACCCAACAACTCCGGTCGCTCAATTCGCCGGAACATGTCTGTAAAATCCCAAAGCTGAATTAACGACGACGTAAAGATCATGCTTTTCACGAAGGAGTCTTGTGAGCTGAGCTAAAGAAAAAGACTTTTAATTTCTGAACAAGAAACAAAAATGGATTCGTCACCGGCGAAAACGAAGATCTCGCAATCCCGGAAGAGTCACAACAAGTCACACAAGAAGCAAGACGCAATTGCGAAACAATCTAACAAGAAGCAACAACAACAACAACAACAGGACGAAGATGGTGGATCATGGATCTGCAAAAACGCATCTTGCAGAGCGAATGTGCCCAAAGACGACTCCTTTTGCAAAAGGTGTTCTTGCTGCGTCTGCCATAACTTCGACGAGAACAAAGACCCAAGCCTCTGGCTTGTCTGCGAGCCGGAGAAACCAGACGACGTCGAGTTCTGTGGCTTATCGTGCCATCTCGAATGTGCTTTCCGAGAGAACAAAGTCGGTGTCACAGGTCTTGGGAATCTGATGAAGCTTGATGGATGTTTCTGCTGCTACTCTTGCGGCAAAGTCTCTCAGATTCTCACGTAAGTTTCCTCCTTTCTTTCTTCATTGAGAGGAATTATGCATTGGCTTTGTATAACTCAATTTGTGTGTGTGTCTATGAAGATGTTGGAAGAAGCAGCTCATGGCAGCTAAAGAAGCTCGACGGAGAGATGTTCTGTGTTATAGGATAGAGTTGAGTTATAGACTTTTCAATGGGACTTGTAGGTTTTGTGAGTTACATGAGGTTGTGAAATCTGCTAAGTCTATGCTTGAAGATGAAGTAGGGCCTCTTGATGGACCTTCTGCGAGAACTGATCGCGGCATTGTTAGTCGTCTTCCCGTTGCAAGCGAGGTGCAAGAGCTCTGCGCTTCTGCCATTAAAATGGCAGAGGATTTGCCAGCTAATGTAGCTAAAGGTTTGTGCTTTGGAGACGACAATGTGTGTGACTGTTAAAAGGATTGGCTTTTCTTGTTTTATTGTGATGAAAGTTTGTTTCTTTTGCTTGCAGATTCGATTCCTGCTGCGTGCAGGTTTCATTTTGAAGATGTAGCACCTACGGAAGTGACTTTACGTCTGATTGAGCTTCCTAGTGCTGAAGAATGTGGTGTTAAAGGTTATAAGTTGTGGTGTTTTAAGAAGGGAGAGGTTCCTGAGGATGATGAGTATATTGATTGCAGTAGAACGCAGAGGAGGATGATGATGTCTGACCTTGAGCCTTGCACAGAGTACACATTCCGTGTTGTGTCTTACACGGAAGCTGGTTTATTAGGCCATTCTAACGCAAGGTGCTTTACCAAGAGCGTTGAGATATTGCAACACAACGCATTGGATGGTAGGAGAAAGAAGAGACTTGACTTGTTAGGAAAGGATCAGGGTTTAGATAGAGAGGAGAAGAGTAGCATTTCCTCGAGTTTCCATATCGGTCAACTTGCAAAGTATGTGCAGTTGGCTGAAGCTCAGGAGGAAGGCTTGCTTGATGTGTTGTACAGAGTAGATACTGAGAAAAGCAGTGAGCCTGAAGAAGAGTTGCCACGTCGGAGACCGCTTGGGTTTGATCTGAATGAAGTTTCAGTGCCGGATTTGAATGAGGAGTTCACTCCTCCGCTTGATTCCTCTGGTGGTGAAGACAATGGTGTGCCGTTAGACTCTCTTGCTGAGGCTGATAATGGTAACAATAATGATCATTATGATGATGGAGACGATGATGATGATGCAGTGTCTAACGGTACACAGAAGAAGAATAACGACTGCTTGGTGAGATCAGATGGAAGTGGTGATGATCCTGAGTTTGATTTCCTCACGACCAGGAAGAGGAAAGCAGATTCTAACAGTCATGACGAGTCAGAGAACCATGAATGTGACAGTTCTCCGATTGATGACACTATTGAGAAATGTGTGAAGGTGATTAGGTTGCTGGAGTGTGAAGGCCACATCGATAGAACGTTCAGGGTCAGGTTCTTGACATGGTTCAGCCTGAGCTCGACCGCTCAGGAACAGTCCGTTGTGAGCACATTTGTGCAGACGCTTGAGGATGATCCAAGCAGCCTTGCAGGACAGCTTCTTGATGCATTCTCTGATGTTGTCTCCAACAAAAGGCCAAACAATGGATTTTGCAGCAGCAGCAGCAAGCTTTTGGAGTAATGATAATCATCTCACTAATTCTTTCTTAGTGGTTAGTATTTTATTGAATAATATGATTAGAAACACCATAGTCCATGATTTCTCTAACATGGATTCGGATATTTGTTATCATCATTTGGTGAGACCCCATTTCAGTATCCTTGGATTGGGTTTAGGATTTAGGATTTGACATAAAACACTCTTGAAGGCAAGATTTTTTGCCTTGATTCCTCGTTTCTGTCCATATTTGTTAAATGAAGAGTTTATGAAATTATTTTTTAAGTTTACCAGTTAGTGTTGGACTAAAATGGGACTAAGCAAATGTTAAATGATGGTAAATTTATTTGGAAAAAAAGGTTAAAATGTTCTACTTAAACAAACCCATAACTTTACCAGTCTTAAGTATCAGTGCCTCTACACACATTCATCCTTAATCTCTGCAATGTAGTTTAGAGTATCCAAGACTTGTTCCATCGATGGTCGTGCATTCAACTCCCACTTGGTGCATCTTCTGATGAGTGTGACCATCTCTGTCCCAGCATTCACATGATAATCGCTCCCAAGTCGTGGATCGATTATTTCCCCAATCTTGGGATCATGGGGCAAGAAAGCTGTCTCGAAACATCTGTTTTTGCCTCTCTCATTTCTTACTGTGTCTTTGGAACCAGTTAAAAGCTCAAGCAAGATCACACCAAATGTGAAAACATCGGTCTTAGTTTCTACAAGACCATGACCGACATAGGTTACACAATTTGTCTTTAAACATTGAAAAGGAAATGAAAGATAAATCTGATTTTGGTGTACGGTACCGTTGAGACAATATTCAGGAGAGACGTACATAACTTCTGATTTGAATTGTGGATTTTCCAAACATTGTTCGTTTGATTTAAGATACAACAATTTTGCATTGTATTGCTGATGAAATATATAAAAACTTAGGTGTTATTTTCCAGGATCATAAAAAAAAAAATGGAAATAAATTAATTACCTCGTCAAGAATAATATTATGCATTCTGAATTCTTGATGTAGCGGGATGTTCTTGATAGAGTGGAGAAACACAAGACCAATAGCTATTCCGATTGCGATCTTAACCCGTATCTCCCATGGCAATGCGTCTTCTTCTGTTCAAAGAAACATGAATGTAAAGAAGAATTGTCTATAGCGATTCACAGAATGGACCCTCTAATCAAAATAGATCTTAACTTCCGTAAAGGTGACTGTCCAAACTTCCTTTGTGTAAGTAATCTAAAACCAAGAAGTGTGATTTGTCATCTTTACAACAGTATCCCAAAATTTTAACCAAATTGGGATGAGAAATCTGTCCTAAGGACTTCACTTGTTCCTGCAAAACTCATAGTTTTAAATTTTTTATGCCCATCAGATACAAATGCCAAAAAGATTTTCTTTACATAAAAATGGACAGATCTTTGTTTACCTCAAAATCTTGTGGAGTGTACAGCAAGCTATGACTTTCCAGGACAGAAACAGGGATTCGGGTTACAGTTCTTGATAGAGAAAAAGTGGTCTCGTCAATGTAGCACTTGGAGAATGTCCGAACAGAACAATCGAAGCGAACTATGACCATGTCTCGTCTGAAATTCTTTGTTGCTTTCTTCAGTTCCTTGTAGCTGAAGACTCTCAGATCCTCTTTCTCTGCATCAAAATTTTCATTTACCATACGTAAAAAAGGGGGGTAAAAGTGCATTTGAAAAACAGAGATGTAACCTGAAACAGAGATGAGAGGCTCGTAAGCACTTGAAGATAGTTCTTGTTTGAAAAAATTTAGAGAGTTTCCCATTATTGATGGAGATAGATGATAAAAAATCTGTAGATTTTATCTTGGTTTCAAGGTTTTTTAACACATCTTCTTAGGTGTTTTTTAAAGAGGTTGAGAATGATGATTAAGCGTGAAAGGAATGGTTGAAATGCCTTTGAAATCAACACTTTATAAGTCAAGTAGCTCACTTAGGCTAAACAAAGGAAAATAAGAAACCACAGTTACTACTTTGAATATTATCCATTTAAGGCAAATATGGGGAAAATTCCAAGTCGCTCAGGTAAAGAATTACAAAAAGAGAAAGACAAAAGGAGTCAAAGTCCCACTTTGGCGATCTTCCGAGAAATAGAGAGGGCAATTTGATCTTCTTGGGAAGAATCTAAGTCCAAGCCTTTTTACTTCTACGGCCTCCATTGTTTATAGTTGGGCTATTGCATTGCTTTTATAAGCAAAGAACAAAAAAACTTATGAAATGCTCAACTAGTCTAACTCTCACACGAATATCAACTTGAAAACGCCTTTAAAACGTAAGAACAAATAATCGCTTAAGAAGAAAATGAAGGATGAGAACTCTAATCTTGGCCAGGCGCGTATTTCAAGAAAATCCACTAGATCACACCTTGAAATCAGAAGCAAATAAGCAATCAATCTCTTAGAGAAAAAAAAGACTGAAGTTATGTCCCAATTAAACCATTTTTTTTTACCAAACCAAATCCGGTTGTGATCATTAGCTCTCATTTGCACTTTGTCATCAAGCCAACACAATGATTGCCATTTGTGTGCGTGATGACACCTCATTTAATAACATTGGTTTGTTTCAAGTTGGGGTAATACAAGAGAAGTTGGATATCACTTTCGTAATAAAAGATAAAACTTTTGAAGCGAAGCTCTTTTTGATCTCTCTTTCAATAAGATGAGAGAGTGAAGCATGTGCGCATTGTGCGAGGAGTTAATGAGCAAGAAAAACTAGTTCGTCCATAGTGAAAACGACTTTATTTTATGCTCAAGTTTTTTTTATTGCAACATTATCTAAGCATTAATACATGTATTTTATGCAATAAACATAATTCTATGAGACATTTATGCATTTTGCTAAATATAACATGTTTTCTTGCAATACTCACATTTCATTTCTCTACTAGAAATTGCATGTCAAGAAAACTTTTTTTATTTCTTTGTTAACCAAACACACGTCTTGTTTTGGTTAATTTACAAATTGTATAATATTATTCTTAAGTTTGCAAAGATTTCTTTCTACACTCGCCCCTTACGGATTTAGCTTCATCTCGATAGCAGTGAGTGTAGTAGTACTTAGACTGGTAAGATATGATAATTATAGGATGATTATGGAACACTAAAAACGTGGTGCGCATGTGTGTAATGTACACATACTTACATGTTGTGTTAATGCAACGTCCATTTATGACGGACAAGGAGAGTAGGAACCGGCTTTTAAAGGCAAAAGGCAATTTGTGCTCTATCTCTCTCCCTCTTTGCCTTTCCACATTTATTACTCATACCATAAATATCTTTCTAGATAAGAATTGTAGTTTCATACGACAATTTTTTTGGACGTTGTGAACAGAGCTCATCACATCGTAGGACAAGTAAAGAGCTTTCTACAATTCAATATTTTTCGCAATTTTCATAATTGAATTATCTTTTTTCTTCGTTCCTTATTTCAGAATCTAACTCGTAATTTATAAATAGTACTATAGTTTTCAAAGTTGATTGAGTTATTCTTTTGTATGTAATTTCTAGAAAGTCAAGACGTTTCTTCACTTTTATTTGTTCATTTTTGACCAAAACACTACACTAATTCCTAGCAAGTAGCCAAGTAGCCAAGTAGCAGCATTTATAATTTTGTTTTTCTCGCTGGTATTGTGTGAATACTTTTTTTTGTTAAAGGGTTTGGTATTGTGTGAATACTTACTAGCTTAACATCAAATGATATTTTGAAAACCATTTCATGATATCAATTTCATCTATAATATTATAAATGGTAGGAAAAACTAGTGTATACAACATAATTGTCCTCAAAATTCACGCAAGATAAGATGATGAAAACGATTCAACGAAAAAAAGCAGGATAATGAAAACGATAATACAACACAAAGTGGAGTGTCACAATTATAGCAAGGAGATAATATGGTGTGGTGTGTGGAGTTATGACAACGCATAAGATATATAATTGCAATTATGATAACACCAACAATTAGGATTTTGAAAAGATTGTTTTTAAAGAGTTTGAAGTCTTTCAAATTAGTTTTGTTATATGTGATCAGTTTCTTTTTCTAGTTTTCCTTAGAATTTAAGTGACAAGAGACACTAATTTGACAATCTCAAAAGCACTATCTATAAAAATGAAACATGGAGTGTTATTGATGCGTAAATGGACTAGATTGGGTAAAGTTAATGGTACTGCCTTGTTGGCTTTCCTCTCCGTGAGGAAAGGTTGGTCTTGGACTTTTCGCAGTTTTTTCTTTTTTGAAACTATTTAATTACTACACGACAAAACCCAACTTTTTGTCCTGAATTTCACTTGGCCTTTTGTAATTCTTGCTTTCGTTTGGTTAGCTAATTAGGAGAAAATGTTTGTTTCTTTTTTCTTTTTCATGATGTTATTATTGTCTACCTTTCATCACTTGTTTCTGAGACTATTGGATCAATATCAAATTTGAACACAAGATAAGAAAAAAAGTTAGACAGCGATTTCAAAACATCCCAACTAGAGGTTAAACGAATATGACATATTTAGTGAGGAAATTTTATTATACCGTGTGTCGAAGAAACTCATTAAAAATTGGGGTTATATATGGCATCAGCCAGTGGTATATTTTTCATATAACCACACTGATGTCAATCAGTTCCAGACCGAAGATTCGATTCAGTTTGTCTCGACTCAATCCAAACGATTTACCAATTTAAGTAGCTTTTGTAAATAACCGGTCCAGATTTGGAAGAAGAAAAAGACAAGGTGTGGACAAAACCAAACTTTTGGGTCTGGTCCTCTCGATTCCTCATGTGCGGTCTTGTCTTCTTTTTCCGACCAAGTTTATCTCTAGTTTTGGCTCTGAACCAATTTAAACCTCAAATTAATAATTTTGTGCTAAAGTTTATATTTGTTTTTATTTGCTATCACTAGATTGAAGTTTGGACGTTTGTTCATTTCTTTGTTTACAATGGGTATCTTTTTTCTTTTCTTATTGCTAAGAAAAATCAAAATTAGAGTTTACATAACATATACACAGCTAACTAACTTTTTTTTCCAAGAGAAGTCAAAAGAGTACAACTTCTATTCTCCATTTTAATTCCTAGATTTATATATACCAATTTCCCTGGTTGGCGGCGAGATTGACTCGACACACCGCTACTACCTTTAAAATATCAAATATCTAAAGTGGATGATCATTGGTGATAGATATGTACAGTAATTCACAAATTACAAATGTTCTGAAAAATTTAAAACTCGAAAATAACAGTCCCTTACGTTTCTATTTTTTCTTCGATGTGTCGACCCATAACTGATGTCCTAATATAAGGCAAAAGGTTAGCTTACATGTTTTTATACATATATTACTACTATGATTAGCAAAAAATTGATGTGGATTTATTAAATTAGAAGTCGTCGTTGTGCTTCACGTTCATGAACGAGAACATGACTAATCCTTATATCCAAGAAAAACTTAATGATAGTATTATAGTGTATTAAAACCATGTCGATAGACACCCCACAATAGTTAATGCATATACATGTACAAACAAAAGTAGTTTATGTAAGCTTATTTTCAGTCCAAATAACTATACCTTTTTAATACCAAAAAGTAGAGATTCGTTTTCACATAGATATTTATTTATGATTGAATATACTATTGCTCTATCCACTAATTAAGATGCTATGTAGATGGACAATGAATACAGATACAGCCATTGTTGAAAAGGCCATAAATGTTTGGACGTATAAAATGCGAGCCTAATAAAACCGGTGGTTGGATGTCAATTAAGATCCATAGACCTAATCCATCTCTCTTCTCCCTTTATATATCGCACACAACTTCTCATAATCTCTGTTCTCGTCTCTAACAAATTTCTTGTAGTTAATCATGGTGGTTAGCCAGAAGATATCCAGCCTCGCATCGGCCATGAACGCCAAAATCATCGGCTCAGGCGAGAGATCGATGGTCCTGGCACATGGCTTCGGAGGCGATCAGTCAGTTTGGGACAAGATAGTACCGGTTTTGTCCCAATCCTTTAAAGTTTTGGTTTTTGACTGGCTTTTCTCTGGAGCTATCAAAGACCAGACTCTTTATGACCCTTCAAAGTATAACTCCTTCGACGCCTTCTCTGACGATCTCATCGCTCTTATTGAGGAGTTGAAGTTTGGCCCCGTCGTGTTCGTAGGCCATTCCATGTCCGGAATGATTGGTTGTGCTGCTTCTATTAAAAGGCACGACTTGTTTTCAAACCTACTTCTTCTTGCTGCTTCTCCAAGGTATGTTCACTCCCTCTCTTTCTCTCACGCACAATACAAGTAAGTTTTGGGGTTTTTATTTGTTTATAGGGGCAACAAAAATCTGAAAAAATCAAACCACATCTGTATAATCTAGCTGTGTGGATAGTATCATTTAGATATTTCTTATGGTTAAAACGGTTAGCTTACCACAAGAGGTGATCATGTGATTCTTGAATAATTAAAATGAAAGCAATATTCCAAAGAGAAAACAAAGCATATACAATCAAAACAAAGCACAATATTCCTTATGAATACGTGTTTCATGAAAAAGGACGAAATGAAGTTATGCTTTACGATAATAAACTATATTAGCCGATATTTAATGGATTTTGTGTGGACGATATCGAAATATAGGTGTAACTGTTGCCAAGTGTTGAACATGTGTGGTCATGATCAGCTGCTAGCTTGTTGGATGGATATGACATATTGACATATGATCACATATTGTCCCATATGTGCATGGAAAGATACATGTGATCATGCGAGTATTTGATATATTCATAGAAAGAATATAACATAAGATAGTAGATATGCATATCAACATAGTACGTGGACCACTTAGCTAGCTTTCCATCACTCTATTTTCTGATAGTAGAAGTTATTGAATGGGAATCAATTACAATTTGAACTATCATCTTTGGACTAGTTAAATTAGATATTTATTATACTTATAGGTGAGAAAGTCGGCCATAATTTAATGTAACAGTTGAGAATGTTTGACTATAAATATGTCTAGTACTACAATGTACTTAGTAATTAATGTTAGATTAAAATAAAGTGATGATCAAATTAGTAATGTTACTAGAATGTAATGAAATGCAAATAGGTATATAAACAGTGAAGACTACAAAGGAGGGTTTGAGTCAAAAGACATTGAGACGATCATCTCCAACATTGGCTCTAACTACGAGGCTTGGGTGGTTGCTTTCGCATCCGTAGCGGTTGACTCGAGAGACCCTACTTCCGTCCAAAGGTTTGAGAAGTGTCTTAAGAAGATGAACCCCGAGACGGCTCTTGCCTTAGCTAAGATAGTGTTTGGTAGCGACGAGAGAGAGATGTTAGGACAAGTGTCAGTGCCTTGCCACGTGATACAACCAGGAAACGACGTCGTAGCGCCTGTCTCCGTCGCTTACTTCATGCATGAGAAGATCAAAGGGAAATCGACAGTTGACATTATCGAGGACGCGACGGGGCATTTCCCACAAATGACGTCGCATGTGGAGCTCCTTAGCGTCATGAGGCGTCTCCTCGAGTTTGAGGCTTAGAAATAAGAGTTTTACGTCGACCGAACGATATTCTTCTTGTCTATAAATATCATAATACTAGTGTCATGAAGTGGGTCCGTGAGTTTTATTTATATATATGTTTGTGTAACTGTAATGTGAGTGTGTATTTTGATTGGAAACGCCAAGTAATTTCCTCTATTATACTAGATGGAGTGAAAGTGAGACTGTGAGTTTGGTTTTAATTAGTAGTGTAATTAATGTGTAAAATATATTGTGGTAGGTATAGGTATTCATCGGTTTTACTTAATTAAGCATCGTTTCGTTGGGTTAAGTTAAACTGAAATAGTTTCTTTAAAAGATTTTCTGTCATCTCTTAATTGTCTTTAGTACAGTGCTGATTCTGGCTTTAAATTTAAACTAGGGGACTACTCACGCATAATGCGTGAGATTGAGTTAACTTTAAAATTTTCATATTGAATGGATATATCATTTTCTACATTATTTTTAGATTAAAATATATTTTGTTTCTTTATCAGTCCATATAAATATTTTTAATATAATAATAAGTATATTGTCTCGATTACTAAATATACTAATATTGTTTTTTTTTGTTTTGGAATAATGGATAGATATTTGATTATTTATTTATGTGTATTATATGTTAGTTGTTTCCTATTTTCATAATATATTAATTATGTGATTTGTTTAAAAGATTATAATTTAACTAAATCTAAAGGACCTTAAGAAATATTGCTAATAATATTTAATCAAGGTAAACCTTCTTTAAATTTTATATTAAGAAAGCAAATAGCAATATCCACTACATGTACGAAAAAAAACATTTTAAGTTTTAATGCAAAATATAATTCTGCTAATTTTCACCAAAATATAAGTATGTAAATTTCCCGCAAACATATTTAAAGTTGAAAAGTTATTTCAAAATGTTTAGAGAACAATTTATAAGACAAACTATTCCGCAATGTTCCCGTCAAACAAATACCGATTAAAAAAAATTTCGCCATAAATGGAGTCAATAAAATTTATGGAATTAGTTTGTGCAACATAGAATCACAAATTTCTCAAAAATAATATTTTACTTCGGAAGCCTTTCTAAATATTTTTTTTCCCAAAAATAGGATTCCTCAAATTCTCTACCAAAATTATGAATTCATAAAATTTTGACCATAATTTTTTTATAAAAATGATTTAAACAAAAAAACAAACTATGCCACAAAGTTCACGTCAAATAAAATCCGATCCGCAAAGTTATCGTTGTAGATATCATTGACTTTTTTGCAAGACTGATTTCAAATTATTAGTTTTTTCGCTACAAAATTTCCACCCAAGTATTATGTTCAAAATCTGATTTTTTTTTAAATCCTCTTATTCAGCAAACTATTTCTTTTTGTAACAACTTATTTTTACATTACTTGTCGCTATAGTATTATGGTTTTTTAGTATGTTGGGGTATATTTGAACCACAAAAATGGGAAGATCAGATTCGTTTAGCTATTATGATATTCTCTTACTCTGTTAATCGAAACTTTCAGCAACAACAAAGGATTCACATTATGCTTATGTACTTCTATGTCTATATATTTGTGATGTAGTATTTCATTTTGCTTGTTTTTCCATTTTCAAATAGATATATAATTCGTTTTTAATTATTCAGTTAATTTTAAAAGGTAAATTTAAAGTTCTCAACACTTCATGTTAAATATCCAATTTCGCTAATTTCATGCAATCAGATTTTTTTCTTTCGTATCACTCACTTTACCATGGAGATACCATAGACTATCAGCAAATACAAATTTGCTTAGTTTTCTCTTTTAAAAACATAGGAATCAATCTCTCCAACACTGACCACTTGCCCTAAGATAGCTTTAAAAAAAAAAACAATGATCAACACAATAGTTTAGGAACTATTCATGTCGCTATATTATATTTTAAATGTTGAACTTATACACTAACCACACATAAGATGCTTTGATTATGACCATCCATTATTTTATTAAACGTTACATGTCACAAAAACAAAGACGGAAACACATTCACCGTCTGAATCACGCAAGTTAATTTCATTAAACCAATCTTGCACACATGATTGGTTGGCCTGCATTTAACCGATTGCATGACTGAGGCTGATATTCAACATCTCTCATACTTCGTTTGGTGGTAAATATCTTTCAGACTTTTTGCATTATGCTCAATCTTTTGTACCCTGGAAAAACAACGAAAATGCTTAAGTTATTCAACACATAAAATCATTGCACTGCTACAGAAGAAATAATCAGAATATCAGAGCACATTTATGTATCTAAATATTGCATTACTGTCTTCATAGTTCATACCTCTCAGTTTCCTAATTTAGGAAAATCTTAATAGACAAATGACCCTTTCATCTCCATCACTCTCGCATGCTTCAGCATTTCCTCGGCCATTGAATTCCATAAGGTACAATCTAAACGTTCATCCCTACAAACAATCAACATCAAAAATATATAGTTCATCTTCATCTCTTAAATACTTTCGTTTTTAAGTTTGTTAAGTATCTACTGATAACTTACGTCCCAGTTCAAGTTGGAGCTTCTTCGCTGGTTTGTTAGCGGTCTCTAGCATCACCATCTCCCCAAGACAACTTGTCCAAGGACATCTGCACACATTCGAAAATATAGGTTAAGTTGTTGTCAACTTGATAATTAATTTACATTGGTGAAATATCGAACTTACCACAAAAGATGCTTTGATTATAATCATCATTTATCTTCTTAAACTCAGGAAGAGTGAGTCCGAAACATTGACCATTTTTCCAACGTAAGTTTCGTCCATTAAACTTATTTTGTAAACATTCACTCAAAGTTTTGAACAAAGTCCTGTCTAATACCAACATGAATCTTGGTTCACTGTACAAAGCATGGATATTTGTCATATAATATTAATGGACACAAACTAAATTCAATGAGACAGTATTTAAGAGCAATAGATTCATACCACTCTGAAGATTTGAAATCGGCAACGAAGTTACATGCGAAACAGATGGAACTGATATCAAGCTCCATAATGACGATCTCAGTCTCCATTACTCGCCGGAAAAATCAACCTTTCTCCTCGTTTCTCTAGAACTCTCACGACCTTCACCAAATCATCAACATAAAATAAAATGAGAATCCCAACAAATCGAATCAACCCACTGGAAAACTCGAAACAGGGGAGAATAGAGTGAAAACGAAAACTCACCGGTGGGCTTGCAGGGAAGGATGATGAGACATTTTGTTTCTGGAGTCATTTATATCAGTTTTGTAATACTAAATGGGAAAGATGATGAGAGTGAAACATAGAGAATGATCTCTTTATATAGGGGAATGAGGTATCGACGTCTTGTTTAGGTCAAGCCACAAATGCAATATACGTGAGTAAATGTTATTCCTCGAATTAAATAGCTGAATAACATAACAATATGATTCGATTGTTACTCAAGTAATATATACTATTCCTTAGTTTCACTTACTATAGTTAATTCAGCTATTTAATTCGAGGAATAACATTTACTCACGTATATTGCATTTGTGGCTTGACCTAAACAAGACGTCGATACCTCATTCCCCTATATAAAGGAAATCTTGCCATGTCAGCTTTTGTGCATGGTCTTTAATATATTGTAGGATTGCACCACTATGACTTTTAGAACTTATATATTTTTTTTTTTTATATGTTTTCTCGTTAAAGGATAAAGTTGACTAGTCGAGTTAGTTGGGGCTTTTTAGTGTTCATAGTGCACGAATGAAACCCGAGACGAAATTTTTTAAGTAAAACATAAAATTCTCAAAGCCACCTTAAAATTTTGGTTTGATTTTTTTTTTAAGTTCGAATCAAATAAATTGGTTTGTTCAAACTATAATATCTCAGCTCGTTTTGTATTAAATCAATAGGAAGGGGAACCAATTTGACAAAAACAAAACTTTGACCAAATCAAATTCCACAAATTATCATGACAATTACGCCGTTGACTTCAGTTTTGGTTCTTAAATTAAGCGTGTCGTGACTCGTGGGTTACATTATTTTAAATTGAGATAATAGAACGATTGTACATTGACCTGATACAGTAGTACTTATCCAAAGACCAAAAACACCATCTGAAAATCTGACCGTCACCCATTGGTATAACTGGCCTGTCAATTAAACATGATTAACAAAGTTCTTATTGATTGTCTGTTTCCATTTTACTGGATTATTTTTGGTGTAAGTTGAGGTTAGATATTGGTTCTCCCGCTACCACCCGCAAACGCAGCGTTTGCGGTTCGTAGCGGTTCTTAGCGTTTTATAACAATCACGACAACCGCTTTCAACCGCTCTATACCACTCTGTACCGCTCTATATCGCTGGAAATCAAAAGCTCCTTTCCGCAAGCGTTTGCGGTTGCGGGCGGTTGCGGTTTGAAAAAAAAAAAAAAAACATAATATCTCCAAATTTGGAATAAGGGTATATTTTTTTGAAAAATACCATAATTATGTTTAAAAATTTCGAAAATACCCTAAATTTTTTCTGTTTTGAAAAATACACTTTTAAAATGTAAAAAGTATGTTTTGACGTGATTTAAACAAAAAATAATAAATAATTACAAATTAAAACGAAAATTAAAAAAATAATAAATTAATAAGTTTTTTTTCAAATAAATATAGTATATGTTAAACTGAAACAAATTTTAATATTTTGGATCTTTATATAAACAACTTAACCTCATACACATTCAAACCAAATGAAACTTTAAATAAATTAAAACTTTACATATATTTAAAGTTTATAAATTATTAAAAATTTAAAAGTGGAGAAATATATCTTTCATTTTTAATGTTTATCTTTTGAAAAATTTAAATATTTTTGAAACTTTATAAACAACTTTAATCTCACCCCATTTAAACTTTATATAAACAATCTTATATTTTTATTGATTTTTAAAAAAAAACTAAACAGGTAATTAGGATGGGTATGTTAAAATGATACAAAATTATTATCAAATATTAATATTTTATATTTCTTATTTGAATTTCGTTTTTATTAAATTAGGAATAATCATTTACATATAAAAAGTGTATTTTTCAAAACCAAAAAAAAAAGGGTAGTTTTCAAATTAAAAATTCATCAAAAAATATATTTAAAAAAAAATTATTAATATGGTTATAAATGTTTTGAATAATTATATATTATTTTTATTTTAGTAACTTTTGGTTAAACCGCTCTTGCACCCGCTGGCTAACCAGTCAAAAATATCCCGCAAACGCAACCGCTATGAATTGCTATACCAGTCGTACAAACAGCTTTTAATCGCAAACTCCCGCTTCCGCAAACTCCCGCAACCGCAAACTCCCGCAACCGCAACCGCAGCGTTTAAACCAGTCAGGCCTATAGTAATAATAAATTAGAAGAAACGTCAATGTGATAGGTGGCCTTCAATTTGTGCGGGTGCACTTCTTTCATTTGATTTGAATCAAGAAGAATCCCAAACAGTAAATGTTGATCATTTAAAAAAAAGGAAATGTTGAGTATTTCGTCTGTATAAATAAAGGTAACATTTCCTCATATCAACAAATACAAGTATATTCCCTTTTTTTGTTTACAAATAAAAACAAAAATATTCGACAGAAGTAATCAAAACTCAAGTCTAGTCTCGGGCGGGGTCAGCTGATCACACCTCTTTTCCCGCAATTTAAAAAACATTCTCCGTTTTCTTCTTCGGTCGCTTACTTTTTCAATTGTTGGGGAGAGATGGCATCGACGCCGCCTCCTGTACCTCCTGTGACGACATCTCCTCCTCCTGTACCTCCTGTGACGCCTGCTCCTCCTCCTGTGCCTCCTGTGACGCCTGCTCCTCCTCCTGTGCCTCCTGTGACACCTGCTCCTCCTCCTGTACCTCCAGTGACGCCTTCTCCTCCTCCGCCGCCTACTGCCATTCCTCCTCCAATCCCCGTGACTCCTTCTCCTCCACCGCCGTCCATTGATTTGACGTCTTCGCCTCCACCTCCGTCCTCTCCCTTGACGCCGTCTCCCACCACTCCTACAACTCCCTTGCCATCTTCTCCTCCGCCACCGTCTTCTCCCTTGACGTTGTCTCCTCCACCACCGTCTCCTCCTAAATCTTCCCCACCTCCGCCGTCTCCCTCCACACCCACTCCTCCTCGGTCGGTAACTCCGAGCCCTCCACCTCCAGCGAGTCCCTCAGGCGGGGGATCTCCTAGAACTCCATCTGTCACCCCAGGCTTTTCTCCACCGCCGCCTTCTTCCTCTTCCAGCGGATTATCGACAGGAGTGGTGGTTGGGATCGCCCTCGGAGGAGTAGCTCTGCTTGTGGCATTGACTTTGGTTTGTTTCCTTTGTAAGAAGAAAAGACGAAGAGACGATGAAGCACCTCCTCCTCTCAATGGTAAAAGAAACATCTCAATTAGTCTAAATCAAGAAATCAAATCTTTAACTATATTATATTGTCCCTCATTTCTACAGTTTATCAAGATTTTCTTGTTTTCTCTAAGCTTCATATATATATATACATTTTCTTTGCATGTCCATGATTTTCCAATACAATGACAGAATATGCAACTTATGAAAAGGATATTACATTTTTTGGACATCTACAATCAAACTTGTATATGAATCCATCGGGAAACCGTTTAATGTTCCTATATTTCTCAGCTGGAGGCCGTTACGGTGGACAGCAGCAACAAAATGCATCAAAACCATTAGATCAAGTGGTGACGTCACTTCCACCCTATGCACCACCACGTCCGCCGCCGGCTTTCATGAGCAGCAGCAGCGGCGGCAGCGCCTACGACTCAAACTACTCGGATCAATCAGTTCTTCCTCCAGCATCTCCGGGGCTTGCATTGGGAGGAAACTATCAAGGCACTTTCACTTACGAGGAGCTATCAAGAGCCACTAATGGTTTCTCCGAGGCCAATTTGTTAGGGCAAGGCGGATTCGGATACGTGTTCAAAGGTATATTACGTAATGGAAAAGATATCGCCGTGAAACAGTTGAAAGCAGGGAGTGCTCAGGGAGAGAGAGAGTTTCAGGCAGAGGTCGGGATCATTAGCCGAGTACACCATAGGCATTTGGTTGCTCTTGTTGGTTATTGCATCGCCGATGCTCAAAGATTGCTTGTTTATGAGTTTGTTCCTAACAACACTCTCGAGTTTCACCTCCATGGTTAGATAAAAACTAGACCTCTTCTACTATATTGTTTATTGAATGCTTTCATGTTTTCAGTTAGTGATGATTATTTAAATTTGTAACAGGTAAAGGACGGCCTCCGATGGCTTGGAGCTCAAGATTGAAAATTGCTGTTGGTTCTGCTAAAGGATTGTCTTATCTTCATGAAAATTGTAAGTCCAAAATCTAAAAAACTTGTATATCTTGTTCAATAAATAACATACCGTGTTTGTTAAGGCACATTTGTGTGTATATTTGTAGGCAACCCTAAAATCATTCATCGTGACATCAAGGCGGCAAACATATTGATTGATTTCAAATTTGAAGCAAAGGTATGATTTTATCCTTTTTTTTTAATGTTAAAGCAAGTATATATGTAACTTGTGTGACACGATGTCTTTCTTGATGAAGCATATTTGTATTCTGTGTCACTAAAGCTCTCTTCTACGTTTCAGGTTGCTGATTTTGGTCTTGCCAAGATTGCTTTGGATACAAACACTCATGTATCTACACGCGTTATGGGAACCTTTGGGTAAAAAAATAATCATGAAGCTATATGTGTACATTTACAAAAAATAAATTGTGTAGCATTATACAATTTGTAAAATGTATATGAATCCTAATCGGATTGGTTTTTTATTTTAGGTATTTGGCTCCGGAATACGCTGCAAGCGGAAAGCTCTCAGAAAAGTCAGACGTTTTCTCATTTGGAGTTGTACTTTTGGAGCTAATAACCGGACGTCGTCCTGTTGATACAAAAAATGTCTATGCAGATAACAGCTTGGTTGATTGGGTAATTATTAAAATTGCAAATTTATATATTTTTCATTTTTTCTACAATCTGATAGTTGATTGGAACAGGCACGACCATTGCTTACACGAGCACTTGAGGAAAACAACTTTGAAAGTTTGGTTGATACAAAGCTGAATAATGAGTATGATAGAGAAGAGATGGCTCGCATGGTTGCTTGTGCTGCAGCTTCTGTTCGCCATACAGCTCGCCGCAGACCTCGCATGGACCAGGTAACTATTTACTAGCTAAAGTAGAACAAAAAGATGTTCATAATACTAATCAAATGAATACTAATCAAATGAGTGATGGTTGTATAGGTCGCGCGTGTGCTAGAAGGAAACATATTGCCATCAGATCTAAACCAAGGGATCAGACCAGGTGATAGCAATGTGTATAGCTCATCACATGGAGGAAGCACAGATTATGACTATGAAGGGATGAACAAGTTGAGAGGGGTTCAAGAGTACAGTCCAAGCAGCGAGTTCAGTAGTCCAACCAATGACTATGATTTGTACTCGTACGGGTGGAGCACTGAGGGTCCAAACACACGGGAAATGGAATTGGACAAATATGAAAAAAGCCGGTGAATATTTGTTTTGTTTTGATTCTTATTCTTTTTTCTAACTGTAAAGTTTGGAGGTAATGTCTTTTTTTTTTTTTTTTTATATATATAAAGAGATTGGAGGATATGTCTTTAACTCTAATTGAACTACGATCTATCTGATACATACATAGATTGATTTTGTATTTTTATTCCTTGTCTTTCCCTAGAATTTGTGATGTTTGATACTCGAATTGAGGTTGAATATAAATTCTTTCATTCTTTTTTTTTTTGGCTAGAAGCTGACATGTTGAATATTAGTACATTGTGTATTTGATCTCTCATTGAGCTGGTTATTTTATAAAACTAATGAATAATCATAGTTCTTTAACTTTCTAACAAATCACAGCATTGTAATTAACTCAAACATACCATTTATCTAATCAAAAGACACATTTAAATTTTCTTCTATCTTCTTAAACAAAAGACAAAACACTATGCGCTATTGGGCCTATTACTATTGGGCCGGACGAGGTACTTCCAGAGTAGTTGGAAGTTGGAACACACAGTCACAGTGACTGATGTTTGGTTCCTCCGACGGAAGTCGTTGATCTGCAAAATTGGAAATCACATTTCAAAGTGATGATCAAAACTTTCTGTGTAGCTTCTGCTCGCATTTTCTTCTCCAGAAATCCATCAACGACCTCTCTTATTCCTCAGAACCCCTGCTTCGCTATTCGCTGCTCTAAGCTCTCTGTATCGGATCACCGGAATTTCACTGTGATGACCACTGGAAGCGGCGGCGACGAGGAGTTCGTAAAAGGAAATGTTCATCCAAACGGCGTCGCTTTCATCACTCTCGATCGTCCTAAAGCTCTCAACGCCATGAATCTAGGTTCGTTCTAAAAAAATATGTTTTCTGATTAATTGAAAACCAAATTCAATCATGGAGAAAATTTTGAGTTTAATTTTACAGAAATGGATTTAAAGTATAAAAGCTTGCTTGATGAATGGGAATCTGATGCAAGAGTCAAATGTGTTGTCGTACAAGGAAGCACACCTCGGGCCTTTTGTGCAGGTAAAGAAAAGAAACATTTTTGTGTGTTGATATATGTTGATTCTGGTTTCTAAGATTTTAGGATAAAGTTGTGGAGAGTATTTTAAGATTTTAAGACTGATGTATGAATAAAGTTGCATTTGGTCTTATCTTATAGTATTCTTTATATGAACAAAACCTGGATAGAGATTATATAACGGTGGTCTTAGTTTATCTGCAGGAGGTGATGTGAAGCAGATTACAACCAAAAAGCAATTGTCAGATATGATAGAGGTCTGTTTCTGCGTTTTTTCTTCTTCTTCTTCTTCTTTCCATAAGCCAGGATTTGAAGCTTATTGAAATAGAAACATAAAAACAGACTAGATATGCTGTAGGTCTATGCGGTAACACTCTTTGAATACTGCAACTTCAGTTTCTTACTGTTTTACATGCATTCTGTGCTTTCTTTTCAAATGATTAGCCTCCAGAAATGTATGTTTCTTGTTATGTTCCTAACTTCATAATTTGGCTTCCTTTTCAGGTGTTTACAGCGGAGTATACCCTGATATGCAAGATTGCAGGATACAAAAAGCCATACATCTCTTTGATGGATGGCATAACAATGGGATTTGGCATCGGTCTCTCTGGACATGGACGCTACCGTGTGATAACAGAGGTACAATACAAAAATAGTAGATACTTGTTTCTGCAGTCTTGCTCAGATAACATTTTTAGCATGATTGTATTTGATCTGCCTTGTTATCCATCTCCAGAGGACGGTCCTTGCAATGCCAGAAAATGGAATAGGCTTGTTTCCAGATGTTGGGTTTTCATACATTGCAGCTCATAGCCCTGGCAGAGGATCTGTTGGTATGTTGATAACACCTGTTGTATTCAAGGAGCTATGTTTCATATTTCTGAGAGCCTTTACGATGTTGATAGCAACCGCAACTTTTCAACCTTATAAATTCTGCAGGTGCTTACCTTGGTATGACTGGGAGAAGGATTTCTACACCTTCAGATGCACTGTTTGTGGGTCTCGGGACACATTATGTTCCATCAGGAAAGCTATGTTCACTCAAAGAAGCCTTATTGTCAGCTGACTTGTAAGCCCTTTCTTCCTTCATTCTGTCAAATATAAGAGTATATCCTTTTTTGTATCTCAGAAACCATGCATGCATGTTGGTGATACAGTTCCAAGGATCCACATCAAGAAATCCAAGCAACTTTATCAGATTACAGCAGCGATCCTGATGACTCTGAAGCCCATCTTAAAACGCTTTTGCCTCAAATACAATCAGCTTTTAGTGCTAGTAAGTCTGTTAAGGAAACAATCAAAGAGCTGAAGAAGTACCAGCAGAGCAAGGAGCCTTCAGGTATGATAAGATAATATAGGCAATTCTTGTTTTTAAGGTTGTTCTTGTGGCTCTGAATTCCATTTTCTTCTATAATGAAAATATGAAAAACCCTTTTGAGGCTGTATCTATAAAATCTTGCTTTTTTTTCAAGCTGACCATAATCTTGGTGTGTACAGTTGCAGAATGGGCTAATGAAGCACTCCAAGGCATTGAAAAAGGAGCACCGTTCTCTCTTATCCTAACACATAAGTACTTCTCCAAAGTTGCGAGTGCCAAGGGTAAATCCGACAATGAGATGGCAACGGTGAGTCCAAAACTCTTCGTTTCCAATTACACTACGAGTTTTTTTTTGTTTCCTAGTAATGATACTTATTATTCTCTCCATATTGAAGCTTAATGGTGTTATGAAAACTGAGTACCGCATTGCTCTAAGATCTGCTTTGCGGAGTGATTTCGCCGAAGGTGTTAGAGCAGTGTTGATCGACAAGGACCAGGTTTTTGTTCATGTCCCTATATCAATCACTTTTTTGTTTCTTTTGTATATCTCAAAGCTCCTTTTATGATCATTAGTGGTTTTTTAATTTTCTTGCAGAATCCGAAATGGAAACCAGCAAGCCTAGAAGAGGTAGATGAAACTGAAGTCGAAGCTCTCTTTAAGCCATTAAGTCATGAATCGGAAGAGCTAAATGTATGAATACGACTCAACTTCATTGTTATTGTTCTAACCAAATAAAAGGGAAAAACCCTTAAAAATACACAAACTTAATTAAATTTAGAATAAAAATACACAAACTTTTTTGGATCTCACAAAAATACACAGACTAATTTTGGTATCCATAACAATACACAAACTTTCACAATTTATAAGTTTGCAACCGCGATGATAAGCTCCGTTAACGGCTTGAACGGAAATTTCAGAACATAATCTACTATTAAAAACATGTGGGTTTCAGTTGATGAAAAAGACAAATTTGTCCATGTCAGTTTTGTCTAAAATCAATTTATCCTCAAATCGATTTGGGGGATTTATAAACCTTAAATTCAATTTCTTTCTACTCTCCCTCTTTCGATTTGGACATTGAAAAATTTGATTTAGAACTAAATCATATTATGAGTTTCTTGCTTGTTGAATTAGAAAGGCTGGTTGTTATGGGTAATTTGCGCCGAAGAACTTTGAAGTGATTTTGCGGCGATATGTCAATGGCTTCGTTATTTGCATTGGTTGTAAAAGCTGGGTCACAATTCTTTTGAAGGAGAATCGTCTCTCTTTGTGAGATGTGAAAAGTGTGGATCATGACGCTCTGTGATGCAAGTAAAAGCTGGATTTCATGCGTGTGTTGATAAGAGGAACGAGACTTAAAATATTGGTCACTCAACTAATTAGAGCTGTTTTTGTCTTTTAGCATGCTTATGCTTTTGATTTGTGAGATATTAGTTCTAAGCTAGGTTCTAGATCAATTTTTTCCTGTATCTGAAATCTAAAAAGAGAGAAGATAAAATGAATTGAATTTAGGGTTATGAAACACAAATTGATTTCAGACAAAATTGGAGCAAAATTGTCATTTTAATCCACTAAAACTCACGTATTTTAAAAAGTAAACAATGTTTTTAACTTCTGTTAAACCCCTTAACGGAGCTTATCATCGCGGTTGCAAACTTATGAATTGTGAAAGTTTGTGTATTGTTATGGTTTTCAAAATTAGTCTGTGTATTTTTGTGGGATCAAAAAAAGTTTGTGTATTTTTATTCCAAATTTAATTAAATTTGTGTATTTTTAAGGGTTTTTCCCCAAATAAAAAGAAAAGAAACGTGACCTAAAAGTCAAGTTGGAACTCGAAACTAAATCTGACCAAAAATAAAAAACGTTTTGGTCCAAAAGTTCAACCTTCTCTGTCTTGTCATCGTCAGATTCACACTAGCAAATAAGTATATTTTTCTCTGACGAAAAGACTAGAAACTGAAATATGCAGAGATTTTTTTTAAAAAAAAACTGTTTTTTCTTCTCTGCATGAAGTGACTACTGAAATATGCAGAGATTAAAAAAAAAAAAAAAAAACTGTTATTTTCTTCTCTGCAAAAAGCGACTCTCGTATAGTCTTATCATTAACGACCCTTTAAAAATTTTCAATGTCAGATTCACGCTTGCAAATGAGTATATTATTGAGTGATTTACCTCATAGGCACTTATGAGTTTCATTCTTACAATAAAGGCACTTTGTGCTTCCATGGTGACTTTGGGCTAATAGAAAGACCAAAAACTCTTCTCTTTACTTTTAATGTGAATTCCACCGTTTCACCTTCTTCCACATTTTACCTTTTTTTCTACAAATCAGAAACTTAAATAGCCAAAACAGAATAACCCTAAAATTTACCGTCGTAATTTCTCGCCGTTCACGCTGCCGGTACCACCATCGTATCCATTGTTGAGTTTTCAACCACTCTAACCAAAGATTTCTTCCGACGAGGTTTCTCTATTCGAAGGACAGCTATCCCATAGGAATCCCGTCGTCTCTTTGTGTGTTTTGAAAGAAGAGGATACAAGAAAAGCTATAGAAGGTGATTCTAATCTGTCGCTCTATTTACTATTGGAATTATCATAAGTTTAGAAGGAAAAATGGTGTAGATGTCTTTAATTTTTTTCTGGTTTCTCAT